CCCCTTGTTGAGGTCAGCTGTTTATGTTAGTTTCATGATTCCATTCTTTACCCCTTTGCTCATCACTCCTCCCTCTCGGTCACTGGGTTCTAGGGGTTCAGTTCCGTGTTTAGCTGTGGGTGTCTGGCTTTGCTTCTATTAGTCAATGGATGAATGTTCTTGGATGGCATATAAGGTGGTCGTCAATCTCATTATCAGGGATGGGCATAAAGCAGTCTCTCCACTATTACTTAGTTTGCCAGTTGGTGTCATCCGTGCAGATTGCTAGAGATCTTACTAGCTCCAGATCTCTCCTTAAACCTATAATGACTCCATCTATTATGGCATCTCTCATCCTGTTCTCCCATATTCTTTCCCCAACTTAACCTTCTTGCTCCCCCATGATCTCCTCTTCTCCCCCTCTCTTTTTTCCTACTCCCACTCCCCTCCCCTATGCTCTCAATCTTCTCAGGAGATCTTGCCTCATTCCCCATCTCTGAGGTACCATGCATATCTCTCTTTGGTTCTTTAATGTTTCCCAGACTCTCTGGCAGTGGGATTGTAGGCTGGTCCTCCCCTGATCCATGTCTAAAATTCATATATGAGTGAGTACATACCATGTTTCTCTTTTTGTGACTGGGTTACCTCACTCAGGATAGTTTCTTCTAGTGCTGTCCATTTGGTGCTGGCATAACTGGATATTGGCATGTAGAAGACTACAGATAGATCCATGTCTATTGCCATGCACAAAACTTAAGTCCAAATGGATCAAATGCCTCAGCATAAATCCAGCTAAACTGAATTTCTTAGAAGAGAAAGTGGGAGGTACCCCTGAATTGGAGACCACTTCCTGAACATAACACCAGTAGCACAGACTCTGAGATAAAAATTAACAAATGGGACCTCCTGAACCTAAGAAGCTTCTGTAAAGCAAAGGACACAGTCAGCAAGACAAAAAGTTAGCTCACAAAATGGGATAAGATATTCATTAACCACATATCTAACAGGGGGCTGATCTCCAAAATTTACAAAGAACACAAGAAGCAAGTCTCCAAAACACCAAAGGATCCAATTAAAAAGTGGGGTACAGAACTAAATAGAGAATTCTCAATAGAGAAGTGTAAAATCGTTGAGAGACACTTGAGAAATTGCTCAACATTCTTAGCCATTAAGGAAATGCAAATCAAAACAATTGTGAGATACCATCTCACTCCTGTCAGAATGGCTAAAATCATAAACACCAATGACAATTTATGCTGGAGAGGATGTGGAGAGAGGGGAACACTCCTCCACTGCTGGTGGGAGTGCCAACTCATACAGCCACTTTGGAAATTAATATGGAGATTCCCCAGGAAAATGAAAAGCAGCCAACCACAAGACCCAACGATTCCACTCTTAGGTATATACCTAAAACATTCACATTCATACAACAAGGACATATGTTCCACTATGTTGATAGCAGCATTATTTGTAATAACCAGAACCTGGAAGCAACCTAGATGCCCCTCAAGTGAAGAGTGGATAGAGAAAATGTGGTACATATACACAATGGAGTACTATTCATCAGGAAAAAAATAATGTAATGTTGAAATTTGCAGGAATTTTAATATATTTTTAATATTATGCTTCCATCAACATGTATTTGGTAAAAATCTTGTCCTGTTTTATAGTCTGTAACCTTGTCCAAACAATAATCAATTGACGTTCTTTCCTGTGCAGAAGCTTCTTCTTCTTCTTCTTCTTCTTCTTCTTCTTCTTCTTCTTCTTCTTCTTCTTCTTCTTCTTCTCTTCTCTAATTCCTCCTCATCTTTGTCCTCCTCTCTTCCTCCTCCTACTTCCCCTCCTCTTTGTTTTAGTTTTAGTTTTTCAAAGGTTTTCTTCGTATCTCTGGCTGTCCTGGAACTCATTCTGTAGACCACTCTAGTGTCAAACTAATAGATAGCCACTTGCCTCTGCCTCCTATGTGCTGTGATTAAAGGCATGTACCACCACTACCCAGTTGGAGGTCTCATTTATTAACTGTTGAACTATTGATTTTAGTTCCCTTGCTATTGATGTTCTATTCAGAAAGTCTGTGCTAGTAAGTTCAGGTTTATTTCCACTTTCTCTTGTATCAGGTTCAGTATATCTGGTCTTATGTTGAGGTTTTTGATCCATTTGCAGTTGAGATCTGTATAGGGTGCTAAGTAGCGATGGATGAGGCGATGGATGAGGGTCCTTCTGCTGTATCATCCACAGTGGTGTGCATGACATGGCAAGGTGGCATGCATAGGAGAGAGATGCAAAACGCCCAAGAGGCTAAAGCAGCCTCTCTAGCAGCCCACTGGCAGTGCTTCCTTTCATGAAAACAGCCTTGATTTTTCCTGAATGCCCATTCAGATGCCACTGGACGGGACAAAACATTGCAGTATGTGCTCGTTTGCCAATTGTTTTCTGGGGTTTAACACTTCTGAGCCTTTCATTGCTAATCTTGTTTTTGTTGCATTTTCTTTGGCCATCTAGCATGAGAGGGAGCTGTACTTTGTTCTACATCTCTAGGTCTGCTAATTTTATTTTCTTGATCCACTGCTTCTGTCTCCTTTTTGGTGGAAACCCCGACTTCTGACAATCCTTGGGCAGCATCCAGCGATCTTTCCCATCTAACATGGCCTTTTTCCTTGCCTATCATGCCTCCCCTTAGTGAAGATCAACCCCATTTATCATTTCAACCTTCCTAAGCTTTCTATGCTACTTCTAGTTAATCTCCTCATCACCTGACCTGGAGTTTATAGCATTTTCCAAATGATTCATTTAGCATCATAATCCTGGCATATACATACCAAATATTGTAGTTTCATATATACCAGACTTTTAGTGGATGCTATTCAAACGAATAACAGTCAAATCCTTATAGTAATTTATATCACTTTGAGTCAATTTGTCTCTGTTTCCAAAATCCCATAGATGAGAACCATCACCATTTTAATATATTTCATGCATTGATGTTCAGGGATTTGGGCAGGGCTCAGCTATGCTTGTGACATATACTAAAGACCCTCAGTGTGCTTCAGGGTCAGTCTCAGCAATGGTGACTGCAAAGCTGGGGTTTATTGGCTCTAGCCCCCATACCACGTAACTGGTCTCTCTCCTGAGACATGAATGGGAGTTGTACTTCTGATCCACTCCTTGTATTCTCTGGGCATGTGTTCTAGATACAGGAAGTAGCCATCATGTTGTAGGGTCTGGCTTGGTAATTAGAAGTTGTGGCTTCTGCTGTGGGGTTTGCTGAGTAGTGCCACTGCAGAGCAACCCAGATGAACAGGGTAGAGGGCGCCATCCTGATGGACCGGGGTGAAAGTTGGACTTTGTGACCATTCTGACCAACTATACCCCTTAGTTATGCTTTGCCTCTGCTTTTTGCTCACGATGGACAAAATCTAAAGCCACAATTGTTTTTATTTTTTTGAACAATTGCAGTAACTTCAAATCAACTTATTCGCCCCTCTGTTGTTTTCACTGTAATTACCTCTCCAGACTGTTTTATTTTTCCCTTTCTTTATATATTCCTTCTATGATGAATAGACTACAGTAGTTTGTGGTCTAACCTTTAAGACCTCATACCTTCCCACAACTTACTTTCCATACCATAACCCCTATCCCAACTCTTCCTCTTCTCTCTTTACATTACCTGGTGTCTACACCAAGTGCAATAAAACTCCTGCTTACTCACTCCTCAGGATACTTTCTCATCCTCTCCCCTTGGTAAGGAACATCTTTCCAGAAATCCCTATCTTTTGAAATCATCTTCATCCTTCAATATTAAATTCAAATCTGACCCCCCTGTGTGCCTATCCTTGATCCCTCTAAATGGCAGGACACTCTCCCCTCACTCCCAATGCACTCTCACTTCTTTTAAAGCTAAGAGCCTGGGTTATTTTATTTGTACAAGCTTGCCTTATTTTAAAGAGTGTTTTGCTCATAGTCTCGAAAGTGTCTCAGTTTCTAGCCTCATCCTTTTATTCTACCTGGTATTGCTCAGTTTATGTTCTGTTTGACTCACACTTGGTCACAGGTTTTGCAGATAGATTAACCACAAATTTATACTCTCATTAGAATGATTGACAAGAATTGTGAGCCATAATGCTAATCAGATTGTTGGTAAAAGGTAAAGGCTGTATCCTTATTAAACGGGGCCTCATGGATGATAAAGAGTAATGGAGTTACTACTTGTCAACTTTATTTGCACAAGCAGGCCAAGACAGATCTACAAGGAAAGCCCCAGCAATGATCACAGAGATTAATCACCATTACTTGAGAGGGGTGTGACCTAGAATTGCTTAAACTTGGATTATCTCAGATTTAGTTCATTTATTCATGCACACCCATTCACACACACACATCCATACTCATACACACATAACCTATAATATGTACATGCATACACACATATGCACACACAATCTATACACATGCATAGATATATACACTATACATATACACACACCCTTATACAAACACATCAACACTATACACATACAAATATACACACACTCTCCACACACATAAAATAAACACACTAATACACAGACACTTCCATACCCATATACACAATCTATTCTATCACACATACCATGCACAACACACCAACACACACATATCTATAATATTCACATATACCCACTTACTACACATCACCATATACACACACCAATACATACACACATACCACTATATATATATACACAAACTAATACACACATTCATACCCATGTACACATAATCTGTACTACACATAAGCACAAACACACACATATACAACAGAACAATACACAATCTTACAATATATCCCCACACCCTTACACACACAGAACCTTACATGTATACACACCTCCCCCACTGTCTGAAGCATAATCTACTATCAAGTTTAATATGTTTGTATTTTATAACATCCCTGGTCTTTTATGGGACTTCTACAAAATGCTATCCATCAGGAAACAAAGCATGAATTCATGTTCACGGGACCATTCTCTTGTGTGTTGTAGGTACGTTTTACACATGAGGAGAAGGTGAGCTTCGTAGAAGACACGTTCCCAGAGTCAGAGATCCCTTGCCCACCATGAAGGGAGCCTGCATCCTTGCATGGCTGTTCTCAAGCCTGGGATTGTGGAGATTTGCTTACCCTGAGACCCAGGATCCAACCCAGTGCCAGAGGGCTGAGCATCCTGTCGTATCCTACAAAGGTAAGGAAGAAATAAAGTGAAAGAAATAAGACCATAGTGTAAATGCAAATCCCACATTTAATGCAGGAAAACAGAAGATGGATACTCCTTTTTGTTCTATGACTTCACCTGGTAATTGTTTAGGATGAAAACAAGCACTAAGATCCTTCTACATAAGAATCTCAGGTATAGCAGAGTGCTTACTCGTGAAGCATCCCAGATGGGATTGCTATGGATGCCAACTGTGTTATTGTCCCATCTTCATTGAGCAGGTTCTGCAGAGCTCCCAGACATTCAAGTCAGAGGCTGAAACCTTGGCATCGGTACTGCAGTAAGCAGTAAAATGACAGGAAAGAAAAGAAATTCTTCTTTGGCATTTCCTAATGAAGTCAGGGTCTTGCCGTGACAAGCCCTGTGGTTCTCATCTAGCATTACAATGCAGTGGAATCCATTATTGTCTGCAGTGTCTTCTCAGTGTAATGGCATTAGTTAGTTGATGGGCACATTCACTCTTCTGTTCTCTACCAAAAGTTATGTAAGGTCTTTATAGCCTGGACACTTGAACAATTCACAGAGAGGAAAACAAAACAAAACAAAATAAAAACCATGCATCTGTCCTCAGGATGCCTCTATTATCAGGCCAAATCAGACATTGCATTTTATTAACTGATTTCAACAGTCTGTCGCTAGTTTTGAAGCTTTGTGTCACAGACTTCATATGTCAATATGAAATATAAACAATAATCTAAGCCCCACATTTACCAATTTTCACTCTATTTTTTCTCATTTAAATACCTACTTCTGACTTGTCCCACATCTGGCAAATTGTGTTGACCCAAATTCAGGATATTATATAATTTTGTCTATGCTATTTCAGTCTGTAACTGTTAATGAAAAGGACTTGATGATATTATTGTTATATCAGACATGGAAAAGCTACCAAATAAAACTTTTCCTAAAACCATGAACTGCACGGTCTCTTGAGGACGTGATTTCTGCAGGGTCAAACAAGGTTCTACCTGAATTCCAAACAGTACAGTTTTCTTGGGTAGTTCTTGGATGTATTTAAATCTTCTGCTGCATTTTTTTTCATTTCCCATGGAAAAAAAACATCTTTTAAAGAAAGGGACTCACTCACCCAGTGTGGCCTATGCTCACTGCATTCTTATTGTGTCATCTGAGTTGTCTCACATCCACGATAACTGGCAATTCTGAAGTGACACGGGTCCTTAGGAAATTCACACTGGCATCTCTTTTGACTTCCCAGTAGATGTGGCCTCCACAGTGAAGCAGTGTCCAGTGGACAGTTGTCGGAGATTTACAGCCACCAGCTAACGGGAGCAAGCCTGATCTCTTTGTATCATCTTTTCTTCATCCCACAGTTGGAACACTTCCGTATCCACCACAGTGCTCCGCCTGCTCTCTGAACCCCACATCAGTGCAGCTGGGAGAGGAAGGCTGAGCCGAGTTTCCCCACCGCTCCCAGCTTTTGTTCTGTTTCATTTTTACTCGGGTTAGTAGGTTCCCTGGCATCCAGAGGTTTATTCATTTGTCACTCCAGGGAATCGGAGAAGTTATGTTTTCTATTGTTTTTCTTTTTTTGCTGATCAGCTTGATATCAATACATGCATTTTAATATAATTGATAGACTTTAATTGGTTGCTACATTTTTGCCCCTGGGAATGTTAGAACGATGCCCTTTCAGCTTAGGATAGCATCTTGAGCTCAGTGATAACTTTCAGTCTCTTGGATCAAAGATGCTGCTGTTCTCTTACCTGCTTCCTCATGTCACTCTGGGAATAGTACTTCCAGGCTGCTTTGAGCACTGGCAGTTAGGGCTTTTTGGCCAACAACCCTAGCGGAAAAATGCATGATAATTAACCCTAAGAATGCCTACTACTTCCAAGTCATCTATAGGCTTCAGGGCCTTAATATCTACCACCTTACCCTCTATTTCTTGTTCCTATACAAAATCTTTGTACCTTTGTAGAGCAACACTTAATTCTGTCCCTTTCACATATTGCATGCCCTATTACTCCATCATACAGTGCATGCCCCATCACTCCATCATACAGTGCATGCCCCACTCCATCATACAGTGCATGCCCCACTCCATCATACAGTGCATGCCCCATCAATCTATCATACAGTGCATGCCCCACTCCATCATACAGTGCATGCCCCACTCCATCATACAGTGCATGCTCCATCACTCCATCATACAGTGCATGCCCCATCACTCCATCATACAGTGCATGCCCAACTCCATCATACAGTGCATGCTCCATCACTCCATCATACAGTGCATGCCCCATCACTCCATCATACAGTGCATGCCCCACTCCATCATACAGTGCATGCCCCATCATTCCATCATACAATGCATGCCCCACTCCATCATACAGTGCATGCCCCACCACCCCATCACTGCACTCTACATTGCAGTGAATGCACTATCACTTTGTCATTTCCACAGTCGCAATTCCAGATAACCCATTGTTCCTGGGACTCATTGAAAACCCTTCCAGATCATATTTTCTTCTTTGCTTTGGTCCTCAGAGTATGTATCTCACTGAGGAATTAAAACCAAATTACCACTGTCAAGTCCCAGAAAGCCATCTCATTCTATGTAGTTATGCCAACAACCCTGATCTCAGTTTATTTCAGTTCCTAGATTTTGCTTTTGATTCTCATAGAGCTTAAAGTAAAATCGATGGAATGAGAGTTGTCCATAGAAATCGTCTTTTGTGTCTGTCCTCTCTTCTGGATTACCACTCTACATTTATATGAAGCTTTACTTACGCTTCACGGTTTACTCTTCTTTCATATCTCAAACAAAGATGCATAAACATACAAACAATCAAACTTGGTAGTCCTTCATAAAAGGTGGTATGTATATAATTCTGCATAATGGAGTAAACCCTGGCATTAGAATGTCCACATTTACACATGCTCTGCTACATGTTCTAGTCCTGTTTAAATCCCACCACTGAGAGATGTATTGGAAGATTTTTCATGAATTTGGAATTCTAGGTTAAAGGGTGAAAGTGCTTGGGTCCTTTGGATGCACATTTCAGATTCTTCCTGATGAAGATATCATTGCCTGAGGATCTGTTCCCTGCAGCCTTGCCAGTGGAGTATGCTCTTAGGGTTTGCGATTTGAGTCCACTCCACAGTTCACAAATGCCATGTCAAACTATTGTAGATGATCTTTTACCAAGTCCTAGGCAAGGACTCCATCACTCGGTTATTTACCCATCTCTAAGTTGCCTATTTTTAGTTTTTGGTGAACGTGTAACAAACTTTTAATGAGTGCCTTTTGCCAACATCGGGTTCTACATTTTGACTCAACAGAGGCCAAGGTCCAATCTCTTAGAATGAAAGGGACTTCACATAACACCCTGTTAGGTGTTTGTGTCATGTACATGGAACCCAGGAGAGGAACATGGGAGTCAGGCAGCCCCAGCCCCAGATCCATTTATGGAAGGTTTCTAGGAAAAGCTTACGGCAGAGCTGGGTCCCATATGGCTGCCAGCAGTTTATGAACCTTGCAAAAGGGAGATACTCCAAAGAAAGGAAGTGGATAAGAATTAAATGATGCAGAGTGGGATGCTGCATCCCCGTCCTAGCAAACACACAGTACCAGAATGAGTCACAACATCCTAGGTGAAAGGGAAAGAGAAGTGGCGAAGGATATCCTAGATATGGAGGGCTTAGATGTGCATGGCGTGGTGAGATATCTGAAGATTAGCCTCCACTGGGAGGAAGGAAATGTTGTGACCATCAGGCAAGGTCATTCTCGGGCTACTGCTGTGATCAAAGGCAGCAAGAAGGAGAAACTGAGGTCTAGATGGTAACACAAATAAAAGAAAGCATAAGTGAATGTGGTTCTAGAACTTGGAGAGGGCTATAGTTGATGATATAATGGATAGAGAACCCAAGAGACTAGGAAGCTCTGTTGCTATCTAGGATCTTGGATCTTTACTCCAATTATGGTCAACAAGGGAGGCAGATGTGAGGGACTGAGAAGCCTGTGAGCCCCAGAAGGAAGGATCTAGCTGAGAGCAAGACAATCCAGATCTCAGTGATGTATTCTTTCATAGACAGGACTGGCTATGGAAGTCTGATAACATAGTGTCCAAGTTCAGCATGGCTCAGAAGGCAGAGGAGGCACCTTACCCTTGATGTCCTGGGTCTTTTAGTGTTGGAAGTCTGTGCATTTGAAAAGCTGAACAGTTGAACTGCATTTCAGCAGCTCTTGTAGTAGTGGTGTATTTGGGTATTGCTTTCCTAGGGCTGTTGCAAGATGACCACCAACTGGGTAATTTCATGTTGTCTTCTCTCACAATGTGTTAGCCAGAAGACCACTGTGACAGTGTGAATGAGGCCATAGTCTCTCTGAGGACTCTAAGAAGACTTCATTTCCTGCACTCAGCAGTAGTCTGTGGCTTGCCTTGGTTTGCAGTTTCATTGCCCAGTCTCCTAGGCATACACTCTCCAAAATCTCTCTGTGTATTTTTCTGTCTTCTCTTGCTATACCGTGTCACTTTTTATTAGGGATAACTCAAATCCTCACCTGGTCTCAAACAGTTCATCTGGAAAAAGCAATTTTCAAACTGTGTCACATCTGCAGGAGCCTTTGTTTAACACTCAAGTAGATGGTTTTGTGTGGCCCCAGCAGAGCCCATTTTGTGTTGCTTAACCAGGGCTGTGTAGAAGGAAGAAGTAAAGCACATTTCATGTAACGATAAATGTGTGGCTCCAAAGAGAGAAAAATGTTAGTTGTGCAGGGACAGGAAGACAGGAAATAGTTTTGAAAAGAGCGCTATTGAATAATCCTTTAGAGAAGATGGGGAAAAGCCAGGTGAAGGAAGAGGCTAAAGAAAGAAAAGAGAGGGGGAGAGAATCAGTGTGGCTGAGGCACTGAGCTGTAGGAGTGGGGGGTCCTGGGAACAGGTGAGAGGTTCTCTGGTAGGAAACATTCCACCTCCAGTGAGCTAAACTGAAGGGAGGGTGCCAGG